GAGGAGGAGACCTCAGACAGGAAGTCTACCTGCTGGAGTCCAGAGACCTCAGACAGGAAGTCTACCTGCTGGAGTCCAGAGACCTCAGACAGGAAGTCTACCTGCTGGAGTCCAGAGGAGGAGTCCTCAGACAGGAAGTCTACCTGCTGGAGTCCAGAGACCTCAGACAGGAAGTCTACCTGCTGGAGTCCAGAGACCTCAGACAGGAAGTCTACCTGCTGGAGTCCAGAGGCCTCGGACAGGAAGTCTACCTGCTGGAGTCCAGAGGAGGAGACCTCAGACAGGAAGTCTACCTGCTGGAGTCCAGAGGCCTCAGACAGGAAGTCTACCTGCTGGAGTCCAGAGACCTCAGACAGGAAGTCTACCTGCTGGAGTCCAGAGGAGGAGACCTCAGACAGGAAGTCTACCTGCTGGAGTCCAGAGGCCTCAGACAGGAAGTCTACCTGCTGGAGTCCAGAGACCTCAGACAGGAAATCTACCTGTCCAGAGGAGGACCAGGACCCCCCTTCAGCTCCTCCCAAACCCCCCAAGCCTTCCTCAGAGCCCCGCCCCCCGCTGCCCCCCCCCCACAGGGACCCAGGTGAGTCGGAACCACAGGTAATCCTTCCTTTGTTTATTCAGAAACACACATGAACACCATGTATTATCAAAGGAGGGGGTGTGGACCTTGGAACATGTAGATATGGGGACTCAGCTGAACGTGTAGATATGGACTCAGCTGATCGTGTAGATAATGGACTCAGCTGAACGTGTAGATATGGACTCAGCTGATCGTGTAGATATGGGACTCAGCTGAATCGTGTAGATATTGGACTCAGCTGATCGTGTAGATATGGAACTCAGCTGAGAACGTGTGAGAAGTATGGACTCAGCTGATCGTGTAGATATGGACTCAGCTGAACGTGTAGATATGGACTCAGCTGATCGTGTAGATATGGACTCAGCTGATCGTGTAGATATGGACTCAGCTGATCGTGTAGATATGGACTCAGCTGATCGTGTAGATATGGACTCAGCTGAACGTGTAGATATGGACTCAGCTGATCGTGTAGATATGGACTCAGCTGAACGTGTAGATATGGACTCAGCTGATCGTGTAGATATGGACTCAGCTGATCGTGTAGATATGGACTCAGCTGAACGTGTAGATATGGACTCAGCTGAACGTGTAGATATGGACTCAGCTGAACGTGTAGATATGGACTCAGCTGATCGTGTAGATATGGAC